TCCCCCAAAAAGGTTTTGGGGGCTCCCCACGCCCCCCGCCCGCCCTTGGCGGACCGCTCGTCTCTATGGCGGCGCCTGCGCTGCCAGAGCGCCGCTCGTGGCGTCATCACCGCGCGCCGGCGGTTGCCGTGGTAACGCGGGGCCCGGCGGCCATGGAGGGCAGCGGGCGGCCCTCGGCCGCGCAGGCCGCGCTGCTGGCCGCCAGTACCGCCATCACCGCCCTCTTCTACTCCGTGTACCGGCAGAAGGCCCGCGTGGCCCGAGGGCTCGAGGTGGGTGCGAGGGGTGCGGCGGGGGAGCGCACGGGCCCGGCCCGTAGGCCGCGGCCTGGTCGCGCCGGCTGAGCTGCGGCCTCTGTTTGCTCCCCGCAGGGCGCCAGGAGGGTCCAGCTGGACGGAGATCTGCGGTCGGTGCTGCTGGAGGCTCCCGGGCGCTGCGTGCCCTATGCGGTCATAGAAGGTAGGGGCAGGGCCCGAAGCGAGGCCCCAAATAAGGGGCGGGGGCACAATTCCCTCCTCACTTTGGGGATTTCATCCCCAGACCCTCGTTCTGTGCCCATCAGTTCATTTTTCCCCCCGACAAGCAGCCACTGACACCTGTCAGGCAAAACACAGATGGCCCTCTGCCCCCTCTGACAATCATGGCATGGTTTGGGTTGGAAGGGACCTTAAAGCTCATCCAGTTCCACCCCCTGCACACCTTGCACTAGCCCAGGTTGCTCCAACCTGGCCTTGGACACTTCCAGGGATGGGGCAGCCACAGCTTCTCTGGGCAACCTGTGCCAGGGCCTGCCCACCCTCACAGGGAAGGATTCCTTCCCACTATCCCATCTAACCCTGCCCTCTGGCAGTGGGAAGCCATTCCCTGTGTCTTGTTTCTCCAGGCCCTTCTCCAAAGTCCCTCTTTTTCTGTTTGTTTTAACAATCCTCTCACCTGCCCCTGGGATTTCCCTTGCAGGTGTGGTGAGGTCGGTGAAGGAGACCCTGAGCAGCCAGTTCGTGGAGAACTGCAAGGGGGTGGTTCAGAGGCTGACGCTGCAGGAGCACAAGATGGTGTGGAACAGAACCACCCACCTCTGGTACGTGTCTGGTGCCCACAAACGTTCTCCTCACAGCCCACCCAAAGTGCCCTCGGGGAGTCTGACCCCCTGAAATGGCCTCAGGTGTAGCCAGAGTGACCAGAGCTGGACCCCACAGTGGCCCCCAGAGTGACAGCTGCCAAAACAGGGCATGCTTGGCTAATTTTTAGGGCTTCCAGAGCTCATGGAGGGTCTTAGGAGAAGAGCATATTGAGTAACCCAACATGGACAGAGCATCGATCAGTCCCATCTTGTTATGCAGGATGGTATTTCCCAAAAAGCCCCACTTTCAGAACAGAAATCAGATGGATTTGGGTGAACATGCACCCAGGGGACCCGAGGAGGGTCCCAGAGCAGCCTGGCCCACCAGAGCTGCTGAAGCAAGAGCTCGGTGACGCTCTTTGATAACACCTATCCAGCTGGGGCGTGTGACAGGTGGTGCCTGGCCCTCCCAGGGCAGTCTGTGACAGCTGGGAATGCCACAGGGAGGGGATTAGGTGGGACACAGCCCTGCCCCAGTGGTGGTGGGAGCCCACACTACCTGTGGGAGCTCTGTGAGGGCGGACAGGCCTTGTGCACACCTGGGCAGTGGCTTGAGGGGGGAAAGGTGCCCCATCAGATAAACTCAGTCCCCAGCTGTCAGTCCCCAAAAAACCCAGTCATCCATCCCTTGGGTGAGGGGAAGCAGGCTCACTTTTCCCCCCCTTTCCTCCCCAAGGAACGACTACGAGAAGATCATCCACCAGAGAACCAACACCACGCCCTTCGAGCTGGTGCCCGCCGAGGGCAGTGCTGGCGTGGCCGTGCGGGTGGTGAAGCCCCTGGAGGCGGCCGAGCTCAGCCTGGAGACGGTGTACGAGAAATTCCACCCCTCTGTGCAGTCCTTCACCGACGTCATCGGCCACTACATCAGCGGGGAGCGCCCCAAGGGCATCCAGGAGACGGAGCAGATGCTGAAGGTGGGCGCGGCGCTGACCGGCGTGGGGGAGCTGGTGCTGGACAACGCCACCATCAAGCTGCAGCCCCCCAAGCAGGGCATGCCCTACTACCTGAGCGCCGTGGATTTCGAGTCCCTGCTGCAGAAACAGGAGTCCAGCGCCCGCTTCTGGAAGGTTCTGACCGTGGTTTTCGGCGTCGCCACCTGCGCCGTCCTCTTCTTCCTCCTGCGCAAGCAGTACCGGCACCACCGGGAGAGGCGGCAGCTCAGGCAGATGCAGGAGGAATTCCGGCAGGCCCAGGAGCGCCTGATGAACGCCGAGGGCGGGGACACCCTCAAAAACGCCTGCGTGGTCTGCCTGAGCAGCACCAAGTCCTGCGTCTTCCTGGAGTGCGGCCACGTCTGCTCCTGCCACGAGTGCTACCAGGCCCTCCCCGAGCCCAAGAAGTGCCCCATCTGCAGGCAGGGCATCGCCAGGGTGGTTCCTTTGTACAACAGTTAATCCGTCTGTGGTTCTTGGGAGGGAGGGGGGGGAAGTTTCTCGGCGCTCAGAGCTGTCTCTCTCGCGAAGGGGTTCTTGTCGCCTCGCTGCTTTGGGCGGTGGATTTCGGGGAAGGGGAGGGAGCTTGAGGGAGCGGGTGCTTTGACAGAGCTGGGTCTGAAAAGGTGCTTGTGCAGCTGATCACATGTGCATCATGTTGCGCTCTGGAGGCTTTTTGGGAGAGGTGGCTCCTTGCAAAGGGGGAGGTGCCCCAGGGGGGGACGCAGCTTGAAGCTCTTCTGTTAAAAGATTTGGACTCTCAGGGTTTGTGTCGTGGTTGCTGAGCCTGTGGTTTCTTGCCTGGCTGATAAAAACGTGGGGAAAACAAAAATAAGATGGTTTAAGGGTTCTCAGAGGTCGTAGAATTCCTGTGGTGCTGCCACACGGCTCCAATGGAGCAGGGGGGGCTGTTGGAGAACTCATATTGGGGGGGTGAATTCTGTGATCCCCCCCAAAAAAAGGGTTTGTGACACCAGGACATGAGGATGGGGAGGTGAGAACACCGTGGCTGATGGCTGATGCCTGGGCTTGAGCTGGGATAGAAAACAGGATGAAAAGCAATAAAATAGGATGAAAAGTGTGTTTGTGTCAGATCATTCCCCGGAGGTAACAGGAGTTGTGCTCCTTGGGTGGACATGGAGGTTGAGTGGGATAGAGGTTGAGTGAGGGGGTGGGAGCCTGTCCCCCCACCCTGGACATGGCAGTCACTGCTGCCTCCTCATGACACAGGCAGTACCAAACCCCCAAACTAACACAGAAAAGGAAAATTCCCTTCCCTTACGCCCCCGTTTTTCCATAAATCCTGTATGGTCCCTGCACCCAACAGGGTCAATGGACCCAAAGCAATTAACATTTGCTGAGGAGGGCAATTAGAGAAACACTCCTGGGTGTGGGGGAGCCTCCAGTAGGAACAGTCACAAACCCCAGGACTGAAGCAGCCCCTGGGATTTGGGGGGAAACCCCCTCGCTCCATCCCATGCCTGAGGGCAGGCAGAGCTGTTCACATCCCCCCCAGCACAGTCAAAAAGAAACAGTTTCCCATCGAGCGGCAGGAAAAGCCGAATTTAACACAGAATCGGGTTGTTTCCTTGTTAAACATTAACCAGACCAGCCGGGCAGTGTCCGAAGGCCGTTCTGCCTCTGTGGCACAACCTGCCGGCTGGAGTTGGAGGAAAAGTGGGTCCCTGGTTGTCCCAGTGCCGGGAAGGGCCACAACCCACCGGCTGTAGGTGGCAGTGGCTGCCCGCCACGGTGAGGCAGCCTGTGAAACAGAGTCCCAGAGGGAAAAGCCAAGATCCAGCTCAAAAATCCACACTCGAGCCCAGAATACAGAATCCCTCTTGCTGGAAGAGGCGTCCCCTCCTCTCCAGGGGACCAACCGCCCCAAAACCCCTCAGAGGGGGCAGCAGGGAGGTCTCACACCCCCCTCAGCCACAACTTTGAGCCTCAACGTTTTGCCTGTGAAACGGAGCCATCAGGCAAAGCCTAAAAATACACTCTGGGGGGGCTGTGCTTCCCCCTTACCTTTCGCCTCCTGTTTCCAAGCTTTCCCTGTGATATCTCGGGCGTAGCCGCAACCTTATGTAAGGAGCTGACAGCTCGGGGGCGGGCGGGGGTGCACGGCAGAGGGGCTCCAGGAGCTCAGGATTTCAGCAAACGAGGGGTTTGGAGATTGGGAGCAGCACCCCAGTCCTGGCACCGCTAAGCACTCCGTCCTTCCCATGCCCTTCTCCTGCTTGGCCCCAAAACGAGCCAGGCTCCCAATTCCAGAGAAATCCTGTAACCCAGCCTTGAACAAACAGGTTTTTTGCTGCTGTTCCCACTGTCCCCCAACTCGGCTTTGCAGAGATGCCTAAAACCCCTCACATAGCCGTGGGCTTTCCCAAAATGGGAGCCCCAACCTTCCCATCACTCAATTTCTGAGCAGTAACCTCGATGACCCACACTGCTGTGGCAACACTGCATGGAAAACCCCTTGGAAAGCCCACAGAGACCCAAAAGGCCCCCAGGAAATGCTTGTGCAGGGACACATCCTTGGGACCCACAGCCAAGTGCACCCAGACTCTCCCTGTGTTGCAGCTCCACACAAAGTGCCAGAGGCCCTGAGATGGCTCATTTCTGCTGGGCTCTGCAGGACACACGTGGGGCTGAGCCCAGAATCCCTGAGGACACGTGCTGGGCTACCTGGAGATGCTGTGGGTTGGCTCTAGGTTACCTGGGATTTAAACCAGTCACCTGGATTACCAGCGATGCCAAGGAGCAGCTCTGGGCCCCCCCTAGTCAGCTGTGGGACAGCTTTGAGGACCCCAAGCATGTTGTGGGGCATCTCTGGGCTCCCCAAAAGTGCTCTGAGGCAGCCCAGGCTCTCCGGGTGTTTTTGTAGGGCAGCTCCGAGCTCCCCAGGAGCGTCTATTAGGCAGCTCTCGGGTCTCCCGGGATGCTGCGGGACACCCCGGGGGATGCTCCGGGGCAGCTCCGGTCTCCTTGAGAGAGGGGAGTGCCTTTTAGGCAGCTCTGAGGTCTCCCGGGATGCTGCGGGACACCCCGGGGAGGCTGCGGGGCAGGCGGCGGGGCAGCCCCGGGGATCCCCCCGGGGGGGAAGCTGCGGGCTCCATCCCACCGGGGCGGTGCCGCCGCCGCTGCCGGGGGGGCCGAGCCGGTCCCGCCCCCGCCCCGCCCGGTCCCGCCTCCCGCTCCTCTATCGCCGCCGCCGCCGGAGCCGCCGCCGCAGCCGCGGAGCCGCGAAGCAGCGCCGGCCGGGCCGGGATGTGACGGGGCGGCCGCCCCGCGCCCGCTGCGCCGCTGCCCCGGGCCCGCGGGCCCCGCGCCCCGGGAGGCTGTCGGGGGGCGGCGGCGGCGGCGGGTCCCCCCCCGCCGCCCCCATGTCGGAGGGGCCGCCCTACGGCGAGGGGCAGCTGGCGGGGGACGCGGCCGTGGGGCAGCTGCCCTTCCCCGTTCGCCTCCGCGGCGGCGACGGGCTCCTGGCCGGCGGGCAGGGCAAGCGGCCGCCCAAGCTGGGGCAGATCGGCCGCAGCAAGAGAGGTGGGTGACCGGAGAGGAGCGCGGATCTATCTGGGATGCGGGGCACGGCCACCAGGGATGGGCGCGGGATGCAGCGGGTACCCCGGCGGGGTGTTGGGCGGCGCGTCCCGAGGACATTTCCCTAGGGATGCGGGACACCCAGGGACAGGGTGTGATGCGCTGGGAGCCCTGAGGGATGTCGGACATCACGTCCCAGGGACCTTCCCCGGGGATGCAGGGCAGCGGGGATCAACCCCAGAGGTGGGGTATGATGCACTGGGCTCTCTGAGGGATGTCGGGCATCGTGTACCAGGCGTATTCCCTGGGGATGGGACATCGGGAACCTTACCGGGATGCAGGGAACATCCCCTGGGGACAGGACATGGTGCGCTGGATACCCTGTGGGATGTCAGGCATCGTGTCCTAGGGACCTTCCCCAGGGATGCAGGGCAGCAGGGACTAGCCCCAGGAGTGGGGTATGATGCACTGGGCTCCCTGAGGGATGCTGGGCATCATATCCCCCAGATCTTCCCCAGGGACGGGGCATTAAGCACCTTTCTGGGATGCAGGGCAGCAGGAAGCATCCCCTGGGACAGGGCATGAAGCGCCAGGCTCCCTGCGGGATGTCAGGCATCACGTCCCAAGGACTGTCACCAGGGCGTTGGGTAGCGGGGACCTTCCTTGGGGACAGGACATTGTGCCCTGGGCACTTCACCGGGGTGCAGGGCACGAGGGACCATCCCCAGGGATAGGGCACCATTCCCTGGGGACCATTCCCAGGCCACTGAGGTGAGGGGGACCTTCCCTGGGGACAAGGCACCATGCTCCAAGCCCTTCGGCAGGGCTTCCTCAGGGACAGAGCTCCAGGTCCCGTGCCAGGTACACTCCCTGGGGACAGGACACGGTGCACTGGGTACCCCGTGGGGTGCCGGGCACCGTGTGGCTTTGCCACCAGCCCCACCAGGGATGTGAGACCCGCCAGAAACCTACCCCACGGTGACCTTGGGCGAGGGGAACCACGGCGGCAGAACCTTCCTCACGGTCCTCTTTCTGCTTTCTAGTGGTGATTGAAGACGATAGAATTGACGATGTGCTGCAAAACCTCTCCGAAAAGGCCCCTCCCGGTGTTTAAAGCCTCCCTGGGGATGCTGGGCTGAAGCCCGGGTCGGCGGGGGGATCGGGGGGGCCGGTTTACAATGGCAAAAAATACACCACCCCCACCCCCCCCAGCACCGCAGCGACCACCCGAGCGAGCACCGGGAGCGCCGTCCTCGCCCTCCTGCAGTCCCACAGCACCACCACGGCACGTCCTGCCCTCCGGAGGCGCCTGGAGGGGAGGGCAGCGAGCGAGGCAGACCCCAGAAATGAATGAAAAAATAATAAATTAAGGGAAAAAAAATATATGAAATTACGAAAATAACCACCGGCTCCAAACCCCCCCAACCCCGAGGGATGAACGGAGGTGTCACACCGCGGTCTGAATTACTCCAGATTGCTTTTCTCGGGCTGATGAACCTTGTGCCGTGTGAAATTTTGGGGTGGGGTGGGGTAAGAGGAAAAGGGACAGCAAAAAATGGGGGGAGGAGCAGCCCCCGGGGTCTCCCCCCCTGGCCAGGGCTGTTCCCAGCGGGCACTTTGTTTACATTATTTAATCTTGCAAAAATGAATCCGTGCACTTGGATGTACCACGCTATCCCCTTCCGTATGATTTCTTTTTTTTCTTTTTTTGGGGGGTTGGTTTTTTTTTTTTTTTATGTTGATGTCTTTGGATGTTGGGAAATTATATAAAATAGATATATATATATATTTAATTTTAGTCACGTTTTAAGGTTCTCGAGGGGGGAAAACCAAAACTTTTATAAAGGAAAGGCCTGGAGGAGGAATTGCTGGTTTATTTTTTAAAGCTTGTACTTCTTGGTTGCTGTGAGCAAAGGGACAGATTTTATATGTACAGGGGGGTGGGGGGAACGCTCGGCTTTTCTAACTACATGCAGTCTGTAGTGTGGGTGATCTTGGTTTCTTTTTTTTTTCTTATGTTGTGGCAGTTTCCTCTCTTTAATAGACTGTATTAAAAATATATATATATATAAAATTATTTAATGTAATCACAAGAGTGCCAAACACTTGGAGATGCTGGAGGGCAGCGGTTCCCTCCCCGAGACGAGCAGTACTCGGGGCTTTCTGCTCTTTCTAGGGCTTGGTCGATCTCTCGTGGGGTTTTCTCTGACTTCTCTTTTCTAATCTTTCTTTTTAACTATTTTGCATGATGTGCATAAAAAAAAAAAAAAAAAAAAAAAGGGAAAAAAAAAAAAGCGCCTCTGGCGCCTGGGCTTGGTTCTTGTTTCTGTTTGCGATTGACTGACAGACCTCAAGGCAGGTTTTTCTTTCCTCCTTTTCTTAAATATTGTGTATGTTGCACTTTTATCCACTACACAGGGCTATTTCTGCAATGTCCAAATAAAAAGGAAAATGAAACAAAATGGGAAAAAAAAAAATAATAATTTATAAGTGCGGATCTGCCGTGTTGTCCCGCGTGCTGCCAGGGCCCAGTGAGTGTCCCTCCCTGTCCTCCCAAATAACCCCAAAATAACTAAGGAAAACCTTGCCACTCTCCAGCATAGACCCCTGTTCAGGCTGAATAATTAAATTTAACTAATATTTATTTATGGGATGTTTTTGGTTGATGGAAAAAACACTCCAGGGGTGCGAATTGAACGGAAAAATTCAACGTGAGGTCCTGAAAGCGGCTGTTGGGGATGGGGAAAAAAGGTGCCTTTCCCTTTCACCGCTGGGAAAACCTGTGGAAAATGGGGATTTTTCATCCCAAAGTTGCCTCACTCCCTCCCAAAACCCAAATCCTGGTGTTAAAAAATGCTTTTACCCCTCCTGCCACAGCATCGAGGGTGGGAGCCGAGTTTTGTGCCAGGGGAATAAAATACAATGACGGGTGGGAAACGGGTCTGGGGAGGGGATTTTACTGCAAAGAAAACCATATTTTGCAAGAAAAGCAGGAGGCTGCTGAACTGGGATTTGTACAGGATGACTGGGGGGGCAGATGGATTAATTTTGAGTGGGACAGAGAGCTGGTACCTCATTTTTGGGGTGTCAAGACTGCACAGAACTCCCCTCCCCACCACCTTTCCTATTTATTGCTCCATTTTTAAGCCACACAGTGTCTCCCACATCCAGGATGGGACAAGGAGCTTTGCTAAATTGCTTTCTTGAAAAATCCCCAGTTATTTTCATTTTTCCCCAGCAGGTCCAGCTCCAAGGTCAGAGCCACATGGGTTGGACTCTTGTGGACACAGTTTTGGCCCCAGGATTTTCTGTTCTGGGGGACTCTGTGCAAAGCACAAGATGGGCCTCTGAGAGGGATTTTTTTCCACAAAACTAATGTTTTTTTTGCCCCAACCAGCATCTGGGGGTGAGCTCAGAGCTTTGGGAAGAGCAGACCTAGGCTCAGAGAAGCAGAACATCCCACATCTGCCAAGGAGACAGTGCTGGGGAGCTCTTTAGACACATAACCACGGGCTGGATGCAGCACTTAATTAACAAAGCTCACCAAAAAAACCCCTTTATTTTTACCATGAAAACCCGATCTATGGGTCAGCCAGACCCATTTTCCCACTTTCTCCCACGCATCAAGAAAACCTCCAAGCACCCAAACCGCCCTGAAACCCAGATGAACCCACGGGTGCTGCAGGGATGGGGTCCATGCACAGCCCGGGAGCCCCCAAAAACCCGGGAGAAGCCAGGAATGAACCAGAGAAGCCAGAGGGGGAAGGGAGGCTGAAAGGAGAGGAGATTCTGCTAAATTATAAACCGCCCTTTTTTTATGCATCTTTCATGCACGGCGCATAAATAATGGAGCAGGAGAGCCCGGCGTGCCGAGCTCGCTTACGGGAGGATGCGGGATGTGGAGGGGCGAGGACAGAGGGATGCAGGATGGATGGTGGGGAAAGAAGTGCCCAAGAGCCCGGGCCGAGCACCCCGCAGCCATGCGTGGCCGGGAGATGATATTCTGAAGGAGGATTTAAGGATTAAACTGGCCGCGGGGCAGGAGTTTATTGCATACATTATTTAACAGATGGCCCAACGCAGGCGGCCGGCTGCCTACGGTCTCCCCGGTGACCTTGGCTGGGAGATGCCGGGGCTGGGAAGGGAGCCTGGTGCCGTCACCCTGCTCAGGTTACAGGGATCAGAGGGAAGAAAAAAAAAGCACAAAACCCGGGAGTCAGCACCCAGCAGCTCCAGCGCCAAATCCCCATGGAAACCGCAAAAGGCCCCACCCAACCCTGGCCCATATGGGCTGCTTGTTTTGGCAGGGGTGGGGAAAAAAACCAGGGGGAAAAGAAAATATATATGGAAAAAGCCATTTGCAGGTTTGTTTGCCGGAGGGAACTTGGCACCTTTGGAAGAGCAGGGTGCCGGAGGGACAAGCGAGGCGCCAAGGACCCAGCGGCACCCGGAGCACTTGCAAAAATCCCACTCCCGTGCCCAAACACACGCTTTAATCCCATTTTCCCGGGGACTTTGGCACTGGGGGAAGGTGATGAAACAGTTGCTCCTCCAGCAAAGCCAACCCTGACCCCTTTACCCCCAGAACCAGGGGGTATTTTTATCCATCTCTAAAGCCGCTCATTTTTCCACAGGCTTTAAGGCATCAGCTCTTGGAAGCCCCCCTGGAATGACACCAGTCCCAGGGGGCTCAGGGCATGGACACCCATTTTGGGGCTGGATCAGTGTCCCCACCACTGATTACCCACATCAGCAGAGCAGTTGGCGAATCCCACAGAAAAATGCCCCAAAATCGAGGGCAGTGGGTTGCAGTCAGGGCAAAGCGGAGCGGGGGACAGGGAGGGCGTGAGTCCCCCAAAGCTCTTCCCAAAAGGACGCCGATGTAGCAACTGCCCAAAATAAATATTCTCTTTTTCTTCCCCTCCTCCATCAAAACTAGGGCATGTTAAACTAGGCCAGCACTCCTAAAGTAATTTATTTATCATGGGGGGGGGAGCAAGGAGGGACAGCGTGGGCTGCAGAGAGGGGATGCTCCACTCTGCCCCCAAATACTGTGGTTTGGGGGAATAAAACGGGTCAGTTTTCCCCTCTTTTCTTGCTGAAAGACCACAATTACTCAGAAGGAGGCAGCTTAAGTGACCTTTGGTGGAGAAGACACAGAAATGGTCATTCTAATGGTATCAAACCCTTTTTGATCCGTTCGCTCCACTGCTTTCACCGCGTGGGGTTTGTGGTTTTTATTGTGGCATTAAACAGAAAATATTCTTTAGAAAAATAAAAAATGGGTAAAGACATGAAGGAGATTTTGCCCTGCTTAGAAACTCAATTTTTTTTCCCCTGCTTTTTTGCCACAGGAATGAGAAAAACCCAGTGGATATCCAAAATCTCTCTGCCCATCCCTGCCTGGGAATGGGGCTGGAAAAGAGGGGTTTGGCCAGCTCCCCTCCTGCTGGGTGCTCCCCCACCAACTCTGGCTTTGGGGCCTTTTGGGGGGGCTTAATTTCCCTGTATCTTTGGGTTTCCCCTTGGAAGGAGGGGCTTCTGGTGGTGTGAACCCCAAGTGTTGCTGGTTTGGGGGTTTTTGGGGTCTGCAGGTCCCCCATCCCTGGGCTCTTTGTCCCACAGCCACTAGAGGCCACTGGGGCTCTGTGATCCCGCCTGATTTATTCATGCAGGACATTTGGACACACATCAGCACCCAAAAATCTAAAAACAGGGGAAAATTATATAAATGAGGTACAGAGGCAGCAAAAGTGGGGGAAAACAGGGTACAGAAGGGCTGTTCACAAGCTCTGTTGGTGTCTCCAGGGTCACCCCATCCTGAGACCCCACAGGGGACAGGGAAAGTGCTTTTCTCTCCTAAATCTGGTCGAGCCTTTCAGCTGCCCAGGCCTGTGCTGAGCACTAGCAGGATTTTTGGGAGCCCTGCTCAATCTAAACACCTCCAGAGGACAGGGAGGTGCCCCACGTGCAACAATCCCTCCTGGTCCAGCTCTTGGAAGAGCTGGACTCATCAGGAATTTTATGGAGGGGTCAAAAAGACACTCCCAGGATGTGGCACTCCCCACCTTGGGAATATCCTGCGAGAAAATCCCTAAATCCCTCCTGCTGCTGCCTGGGGGAGCCTGGGAGTGGAGCCGCCTGTCTCCCCGGGCTCCTGATTCTCATTTTGCCTGGAGTTAAAATTTTCTAGGATATTCTAAACAGCCGTTCCCACTAAAGAGGGAAACATCAGACATCTTCATTTATCCACCGCTCCAGGTGTCAAACTGTTGCATGACAATAACAAGTGGGAGACACCTCACCCAAAAACCAGCGAAAATTCCACTCGGAGCCAAATGCAGCAGCAGATGCTCAAATGAAAAACAAACCTGAGGCAGCAGCAGGCTCTGCAGCCCTGCCAAAGCCTTCCCAGATAAATAGTCTGTGGCTGGGGGGGGGAAAGGGGGGTTATTATATTTTTTGGGAGGTTGGGATGCCTGTGCAGCCTCACATCTGGGTATTTTCAGACCCTCAGTGGGCAGGTGAGAACGGCCACTGCCTTCTCGGGGCTGCCCCAGTTCCCAGCCTCACTGGCTTTGGAAGAAGCTTCCCTGCCAGTGATTTTTCCAAGACAATTCCTCCCCTGGGTTCCTGTGGGATGTGCCTGTGATAGCAATTGCCCTGTTAAATCCCTGCTAGCGAAGCAACGCCAGGAATGTGAAGGAAACCAGAGGAATTTGGGCTCCTCTCCGTGCTGCAACATCGCAATTATTAATATATAGAATGTCTATAATGTATTACAATATTATATAATGTATAATATTACATAATATATAAAAATAATACGTTATATAATGTATAATATTATCTAATATATCTCTAAAATAATATCTCTCTATAAAAACTGTTGGCAGAGACATTTGTGACGCCTGCATGAGACCCTTTACTTTGCAGATATCCCTTTTCCCATGTGAAAGAGGGAGCAGAGTGGGATATCCCCATGGAAAAAGGGGAGCAAAGGAACCACTGGGAGCACCCCTTGGGGTCCCTGGAGCACATCTTGAACCATCAACCCCTTCCCGGGGTGGGAGAATAAAAGAAAAGAAAGGAAAATAACCAAACCACAAAAATAAACCCCCCAACCAGGGCCATGTGATCCAACACTCCGAAATACCCGGTGGTGAGTCACGGGTGCAGGGATGGGGCTGATCCAGCTCTGACTCAGCCCGGGCAGCCGGTGCAGGCTGTTGTGTCCCCCCCTTCCCCAGCTCCCTGTTTCCCATTTTTGCTCCAAACCTGCACAAATATAAATAAACACTCCGTGACTCAGAGGCACGTGGAGGGGCTCAGCCCCTTCCAGCCACCCGAATTCCTGAGGGTGACAGGGCTGGGCACACCTGAATCCCACAAAAGCCAGGCCTACCTGAATCCCATGAAAGCCAGGTCTGGGAGCCCTTGAAGTATTTAAAATGTTTTTTAAAATACGTATTTTTGGAGGGACACACACACACACACACACACAAACGGGAGGTTCTCGTTGATGCCACTGCAAGGAAGCACTTGGGATTTTCCAACTAGCTCTAATTAATTAGTATTTTCTCAGCTTGGTATCGTTTTAAACATGAAGCACCAACTAATTCCCATTGGTCACAGGCAAGGGGG